CATCAGCTCCGATTCCACCTCCATCAGCTCCGATTCCACCTCCATCAGCTCCGATTCCACCTCCATCAGCTCCGATTCCACCTCCATCAGCTCCGATTCCACCTCCATCAGCTCCGATTCCACCTCCATCAGCTCCGATTCCACCTCCATCAGCTCCGATTCCACCTCCATCAGCTCCGATTCCACCTCCATCAGCTCCGATTCCACCTCCATCAGCTCCGATTCCACCTCCATCAGCTCCGATTCCACCTCCATCAGCTCCGAAAAAACCTCCATCAGCTCCGATTCCACCTCCATCAGCTCCGAAAACACCTCCATCAGCTCCGATTCCACCTCCATCAGCTCCGAAACAACCTCCATCAGCTCCGATTCCACCTCCATCAGCTCCGATTCCACCTCCATCAGCTTCCGAAAAAACCTCCATCAGCTCCGATTCCACCTCCATCAGCTCCGAAAAAACCTCCATCAGCTCCGATTCCACCTCCATCAGCTCCGAAAAAACCTCCATCAGCTCCGATTCCACCTCCATCAGCTCCGAGAATATGTAGAAGCTCTTTAGCTGAATCACCAAGATTAGCTATGAAGTTGTCGATGTATTCCAAGATCCAGGTCCTGCCGCAAAAGCTCTAGTTCCAGCTGCTCCAATTTCAGCTTCACGACCATCACCTCCAGTTCCAATAGCTCCAGTTCCAGGACCCAGGTCCGGCTCCCAGAGCTCCAGCTCCGAGAGGTCTATCTCCCAGAGCTCCAGCTGAAGCTGGAGAACTGACGATTCTCACTGTTTCTCTCTGCCCTTATATGCAAAATCCAGGGAGATTCTTATCTTTTTGCTCTATTTTTTCACTTTTTGAAAAAAAAAAGATTTTCCGACACGTGATTTTTTTTTCTTCAAATATTTTTGATTTTTAAAAATGAGGGATCAATTTTTTCACGCCTGTCTTGTATTATAATTGCATTCTCTCCCTGTTTCTAAATGTGAACATTTGGTCTAGTGGTATCCACTGTTGACCATCACCCCGAGAGTTTCGGGTTCGACCCCTGCCTGGGATTTACTTCTTTTTTTTTCGTTTTTTTTTGCTTTGACATGCGTTTTTTTTTAAATTTTACAATTCACAACTCTTTACAAAACATTTATTTACTACCCGTGCATACACAGTATGCGACTTATACGAACAATTAGAAAAATCAACAAAAAATTCAAAAATTAGCGAAAAATGATAATTAATTAACAGTTTCAGCCACCGGCTTCGATGAAATCGTTTCGAGCTTCACAAAATCCTCGGGATCATAAATGACACGTATCAGAAGGGAGCAGCTGGGACACTGTGCGACGTCTTCGCCCATTTCTAGCATTTCTCTGAAATTTTCGACTTTTTTTGAATTATAAAGCTTTTCATTTAATAACCTAGCAATTTCAAATCGATCGCACACGGACATGGGTAGTGATAGACGTCCTTCTCCTCGTCGAACTCGAAATCCTCGATTTCGACTTCATCGTGGAACACCGACATCTTTTCGGGTTACCTGGAAGGAAAAATCAGATTTTTAGAGTGAAAAATTTGTTTAAAATCATAGAAATTAAGTTAAAGCCCGAAAATTATGCAAGATTTCGAAAGAAATTCCCGAAAAAATAAAATAAAAATCACATGAAGTCCGCAATAAGTCGTCTCGGTGTGCGTGCGCCCCCTCCGCAAACACCATCGTCTACCGTACCTTCGCTTTTCGTAATTTTTCTCAACGAATTTCTTTATTTTCCGGAACAGTTTTCAGGGAAAAATACACCGTTTTTCAGCGAATTTCCGCAAAAAAAAACGTGAAAAATAATAATTTTCCAGGCGAAAACATGTCTCGCAGGGAGATTTTCCCCCTGCGCACCACGGAGACAATGAAAATGATTCCCGACGATCAGTTGCAGTATGTCTATCGTCGGAATAAAGAAATTCAAGATTTGCTGCGAGATTTTGATAGAAATCACATGCGCGGAACCTATGAGCCAATGGTTTTGCTGAAAAAGTAATTTTTAAAAAAATTTGAAATTTTTTAAAAATTTTAAAAATTTAGTTTGTCTGAAATCCTAGAAGAAGCCACAGCGGTATTCATCAGCAATGATCCCGACCCGCTAGACGATCGTCATCCACACAGGACGCATCCAGATTCAGCGTTAGGAAATCTATTGAAGACAATTTTCAAAAATGACGATTTTATGACTTCTGTAAGGTCTAAAAATTTGAATTTTGGCTTAAAAGATGCGCAATTTTCAGCTCGTTGTCTCCTATATCTTGGTTAGAGACAATGTGGAGCTTAGTATCCAGGGATGTCGAGTTTTGCTGGCCTGTGTGCCTGGATTAGACTCAAAAGTCGTATTTTCGGAGCCCGACGACTTCATTCCACGTCTCTATCACTGGGCGGGACCTGAGGGAACCAATGATACACTTCAGGGATACGCTATGGGTCTGCTAGCCGCTGCGTTGGAAAATACTGAAAATGCCAGCAAATTTCGGAATGAAAACGCGGAGTTGGTGCCGTTTGCACTGGATCGGATGAGGGAATTGCAGGTGGGGGGAATTTGAAACAAATTGAAAATTTTTTTGAAAATTCGCTTTCAGAAGTGGGTTTTTTGCAGCAAAATTCCTAAAAATACATATTTTCACTTAAAAAGTGAAGAAATTTAAAAAAAAAATCGAAAAATTGAAATTTCAATAAAAAATTTTTCAAAGAAAAAAAATACGAAAATTACTAAAAATAACTTGAATTTTCCCCATTTTCGCAATTAAGTTTTTGTGTAAATGTATGAAAATACCCATAAAAATGTTTTAAAAAAACACAAAATCTCGGGAAAATTAACAAAAAACTGAAAATCTCAAAATTTCGATTTTTTCTAATTTTTTGAAATTTTAAATTTTTTTCCGAAAAATTAAAATTTCGCTGTAAAAATTGCAGTAAAATGTGTGATAATTGCCGAATTTTAAATAAAAAAAAATTTAAAAAAATCTGAAAAATATATCTGAAAACGTCGAAATTTCGATTTTTTGGATTTTCCTGATATTTCAAAAATTTAATATTTTTTAGAAAAATTCAATTTTTTTTTCAGAATTTTCCCATTTTTGCAGTCAAGTTTGTGTAAAAATGTCAAAAAAAAATGCTGGAAAATTCGAAATTTCGATTTTTTGCCAAATTTCAATTTTTAATTTTTTTTGAAAAATTGTAAAAACTTTTACCAATTTCTGGAAAATTTCTAGAAAAAAAGAAACATTTCTGACATTTTAAAATAGAAAAATTGCAAAAAAAAACCTTATTTTTCCAGGTCCGTGCCTACGAGGAACACAACAATCTGGGCAACACAGAGTGAGTCTTTCTGGGCTTTTTCAGCCAAAGATTTGGCTGAAAATCCCTTTTTTCCGGCTTTCAGACCGGCTAAATTTGCTTTTCCTACCTATTTCTAGCTAAAAAACCCCAAATTTTCAGTTTCTCCGAGCTAAATTCTCAACAAAAATTGGCTGAAAATGGCGTGCCGAGTGCCAGTAACGGCTTCGAAATTCCATCGATTCAAGTGACGTCAAATGGAGAAAAAGAGAATGAAAAATTAGCAGCAGTAGTACCGCCGCCACCGAAGAAGAGACGAACTGAGGTTCGTTGAAAAAGCAGGAAAAACGGTCAAAAACCGGCAATTTCAAGTTAAAAATAGCCAAAAATGGCTTAAAACGGGCTAATTTAAACTATTTTTCTCGAAAATTTGAGAAAAAAATGGGTGAAAATGACCTAGTTTCAGCTATTTTCCTCAAAAAATATATCAAAATTGGCTGAAAAAACGATTTTTCGACAAAATCTTGAAGTTTTTTCCAGCTATTTTTTCTTCAAAAATTGAGAAAAATGGCAAAAATGGCTTGAAATGAGTTATTTTCAGCAAATTTCTTGTTAAAAATGACGAAAAATGGCTCAAAAATGGGCTATTTTTTCACTACTTTCTGTTTAAAATGACGAAAAAATATTTGAAAAAACGATTTTTCTACGAAATTCTGGCTTAAACTTACTATTAGCATTCTTCATAAAACAAAAATTTCAAAAACCACCAAAAAAAATATTGGTATTTCCAGCTATTTTTACTTTGACAATAACAAAAATATGCTTTAAATGAGCTATTTCAAGCTGAAAATCGTGAAAAGTCGTGAAAAAACGGGCTTAAAATGGGGGTATTTCGAGCTGAAAACCGGGGGAAGAAGGTAATTTTTTGATTGTCTAGAATTGTTTCAAAATTACGAATTTTCGGATTTTTCGAACCTAAATACAATGATTTTTGTTCGAATTTTTGGGTCTAAATTTGTTTTAAATGGCTAAAAATGGAATTTTTTTTGTCATAAAAATAGTTTTTTTTTCCGATTTTCAGCCTCAAAAATTGCTCATCTTCCGATTTTTGGCTCTAAAAATGCTCATTTTTTTTCGATTTTTGGCTCTAAAAGTACTCAATCTTCCGATTTTTGGCTTTAAAAATACTCAATTTTTTGATTTTCTGCCCCAAAAATGCTCAATTTTCAGCCAAACCTCCCTGCACTTCTTCGTACAGAGACGACTCAACGTGTTCCATCATTCCATAACCTCCGAAATTTGGACGATTCGAATTCAAAATGGGACATTCTGCAGCCATTTTTGATTGGAACCCAAAAAGTGTACCCGTTGAGTCTGCCGACGTATCAACGATTCATTCTACAGTATCTCGCCGCCTGTGGAGAGTATCAGGATGTAAGGAAAATGGAAAATTGGAAATTAAAAATTCTGGATTTTTTCGAAAAATTTTTTTTTGGAAAAAATCCAAAATTAAGCTGAGCAATCTGAAAAAAAAACGTTCAAAAGCTAAAATGTATTTTTTAAAAATATTTTTTCCGATTTTAGCTCGATGTTCTGATTCCAGCGCCGATTGCTCAGCTTAAAATTGAAAAAAAGCTAGATTGTCGTCTTAAAATGGGAGAATACCCATGAAAAATTATTTAATATCCCATTTTCCCAATTGCTCAGCTTTAAAATCCGAAAAATTGCTGAAATTATGAAAATTGCAGCAAAAATTGAATTTTCCAAGAAATTTTACCAAAATTATATCTTTTCTGAAAATTTCGAGCTGAAAATTTGGAAAATCTTAAAATTAAAATAATCCTAAAAATTGTGAAATTACAAAAGTTTTGAAAAATTCAAAGTTTTCAAAATTTCCATAACAAAAAATTCCGAAAATTCGTAAAATTCTAAAATTTACAAAAATTGGATTTTTTTAAAATTTTCGAAAATTTCAAAAATTCTGAAAATTCGAAAAATTCTGAAAATTTGAAAAATCCGAAAAAAAAGGCAAGAGTTTCAAAAAATTCAAAAAACCGTGAAAATTTTTCAAGAATTCGGAAAACTCTGAAATTTACAAAAATTGAATTTTTTGAAAATTTTCAAAAATTTCTGAATATCCAAGAAAAGACCCAAAATTTCTAAAATTCTGAAAATTTGAAAATTCCAAAAATTTCAAAATTCGAAATCTCCAATTTTCAAAAAATCCCATTTCCAGCTCCTAGTCCAAACCTTCGAAGGCAACGCTCTGGACCTTCTTCTCGATTACATCGACTTGGAAAAAACGAAAGACGTTCGTCTGACATTCGACGCTCTAAAATACCTAACCTCCCTGCTTGTTCACCGGAAATTCGCATTGGAATTCATTGAAAAAGACGGAATCCGGGCACTTTTACGTCTTCCAAGGACGTCGTTGGCTTCAGTTGGAGTCGTTACATGTTTCTATTATATTGCATATAATAATGATGTTATGGAGATGTTGTGTCAAATGGGCGATGATATTGTTGATGAAACTGTTCAGTGAGTCTTTTGAAAAGGGGCGGGGCTTATGAGAAATCAGAAAAACTTCCGAAAATTGAAAAAAAGCAGCCCAAAATGAGCTTTGGTTGGCTTAAAATGAGCTCAAATTTCACTTGAAAAATCCTTTCCTAATTCCGAACGTTTTAAACCGGTTCGGTAACGTCTGGTTGTGAAGTGACAGGTTCTAGAACGTCCGGTTGCAAAATGACCGCTTTTGAAACGTCCGGTTGCGAAATGGCCGGTTCTAAAACGTCTGATTATAAAGTTTCGCAACTGACCACTTTGCAACCATGCCGTTACAGAACGGTGGAAAATTGACCGGTTCTAAAACGTCTGGTTGAGAAATGACAAGTTTTAAAGCGTCCGGTTCTAACATTTATCAATGGGCTATTTCGCAACCAAGACGTTTTAGAACGGTTTGAAAATTGTCGGTTCTAAAACGTCCGATTGCGAAATGACCCAGGACGTCTAGTTTTAAAGTTTCGTAACTGACCATTTCGCAACTGAGTCGTTATAGAACGGCTTAAAACCTACCGGCTCTGAAAAGTTGCAGAATTCCCAGTTCTAAAACGTCACAGTTGCAAAATGGCTGGACCTGAAACGTCCGAATATAAAGTTTCCAACTGATAAATTGGCAACCAAGACGTTCTAGAACAGTTGCGAAATGACC